AGTTGTGTAGTTCAAGTGCAGTAGTTAAACACTTTAAAGATGAGTGTCAGTGGATTGTGAAACAAATGTCTTGCATATATACAAATCTAGAATTAATGCCACTTGACACTGATTACCTAAAAACAGTCTAAACTACTAAGAGAAGGAAAGGAATATTAGAAAAAAAAATCTGGGGAAAAAGAAATAGGAGCTATAACCATGGGGCTCCGGTAACATAAACTCTCAGTTTTTTATTTTTATTTAGCTCTGCTAGATGGAGCTTAGTGCATCACCCTGAATGAAGCATTCCCACTGTGAAACAAAGTGGTCACAGTATCATGGTGTGGGCTGCTCTCTTTAGATGGGACAAGTTGGTCGACTGGTCTAAATACAGGCCATAACTGGAAGATACTCAGGGCTGAGGCAAATCCTTTCACTCAAACTAATAATGAGCTCAGGTAATTAAAAAAAAGCATTTTATTCCCCTTTTGGAAAAATAAATTAACATTTCAATTCAATTTTCAGTTCAGTATACTGTATTTATATAGCGCCAACTCACAATACATATAATCTCAAGGCACTTTTTATTTTACCAGATCTGTAAAGTGCGACCATCCCCCCCCCCCTTTCTGAGTCATAGACAGGTTTCAGGTATTACAGGCTAATAAAGAAACAAAACCACCCCCATTCCAAAGGGACGGACCCACTTGTCAGATTCAATTTGCATGTTTCTTAGCCAAAACAAGGCTTTGTTTTGGTCCACTCTAAAAGCCTTGAACTTGGCTCTATTTCTGACATTTTCAAACTTGGAAACAAAGTCCAGCGGATTGTCTTTTAAATTCTTTGGAATGACTATGACCTGGATGACAGGGAATCTTCAACAGCATAGTTCACCAGATCATACAGGAAAACAAGTTGATTGCATCGACTCATTGACTAGAAGGTAATCCCTCACGCTAAGCATGCTTGTAGCAACAGTGGAGAGGAAAAACTCCTTTTTAACAGGAAGAAACCTCCAGCAGAACCAGGCTCAGTTTGAGCAACCATCTGCCGAGGCCGACTACGGTCATTCATTTATTTCATTCTTTGTTGAGATAAGCTTCACACCTTTGCAACAGCAGAATGAGAGTGGATTTAGTCATCTGAAAAGGCAGCAACATGTGAGCCCCGTTCATTAATCTCTGCATATTTTGCTATTCTGAAAGAAAATACTGTGAAATATTTTGTTGCGCTCAAGGTTTTCATGTGAATAACATTTCAATCTGGAAAAACTCGCACAACGAGAAAAGATGATTAGGAGAAATGTATTGATACAATTACTTTGTCGCTCAGACCTCGGCAGGAAACATACAACTTAATTTTTGATAGATATGCATGAACAGGAGCAATAGGGCTGTTTCCCTCCAGGCCTGAAACTGGTGGTGGAGTGGAGATAAATAGATGAATAGATGAAGTTGGTCAGTCTGTAGACTGCTGGTTAGCGACACGGTCTGCTGAGCTTTATGGGGAGATCCAGTGGACTGCGTGAGCTGATACTAGAGCTTTACTCAGAGACCTGGAAGATGGAAGTCCAGTTGGATAACACAAGTTGAGATAACCTGTCCATGATGTTCAAGCATGAAGCAACAGTGGAGAGGAAAAACTCCCTGTTGGGAAGAAACCCCTGGCAGAACCAGGCTCAACATGGCGGTCTTCTGCCGGACCGGTTAAGATGAGACAGAGAACGCAGTAAGAGTCCGGGAGGAATGACTCTGATGAAGCTTTAGCTACAATGGTGGAGGAGGGGCTGGAGGGGGGTTAAAACCATGTCATCTGAATGAAGTCACAGCGCATCCGCCGCCTGCGCACAGGAGCAGACAGGTGCGTATCGGAGGCCTTTTAAGATGAACTTTGGATGCTGATTGGCTTTCGTGGAGGTGTGGCTCAAAGCCGATTGGCTGTGTCACAGGTGGATGTAAGAGAGCAATCGGTTTCTTCAGTTGAACTTCTGCCTAGGCTCCATTTTTAAAGGTGTCTCCACAATATTTTTGACGAAATGCATTAGTGAATGAAGACTTTAGGTAAATATATATTTTTATTCCCACTGCAGCTCTACTCAGCAGCTGTCCCTAGTGTATTATTGATTTCATGCCTAAATAGATTTATTTGCATGATAAAATGCAGACTCAAAGCTTAGCCCTATCGGCATGACAAGCATGAAATCTGAGAAAAATACCCCGACATAATAAGAAATTATTATACTTTTGATCCAAAAGTAGGTTATGTAAGATTCTGATGATCTTCACACAATGCTGGTATTTAGCGTTCCCCTCACTCAGTTTTTTTTTTAATATACTTTTGAAAAAGAAATGCATCCCACAGTGCCATCATGTTCCAGTAACACAGCAGATGTGACACCACAGAGACACTTCTCACCAGGACTGTGCCGCTACTTCTAGCATGAATACAGTAGACAGAAATGTCAGCAAGGTGGACCGCAGGGCCAGACTGGCTGGATTCCCAGACGTCCCTCTCAGATTCACAGTGAGCCCTCAGTGTGGGAGTTTGTTGGCAGATTTCTCTGATATGCACTGAGAAGATGAAATCCTTTGGTGCCAGAACAGGAAAGAGAAGCTTTATAACTTATAATTTAGCAACAGCAGTGGTTCATTTTGGTTGCTGACTGGAATAGTGTGAAATTTGCCATCTAACTGTGGCTGTTGTTTCTTAGAGAACTACTTAAAATCTTTGTCTACCAAAAAGGTAATTTTAGTCTTAAATGGATGTTTGACTTTATAATTAGTGAAAAGTGTGGATCCAGTCCTAGAATCATGCCTTTTTGCTTCATCAGCATAGGAAAACTAATCCAAGGAAAACATATTTTCTGCTAACTTTTTGTTTTTGACCAGACTGGGTACACCACACCAGATTCCATTCATCCCAATCTGAACATTATGACTTGATGAGATGAATGGAGTCTGGTGTGCTGTTGCTTGGTTGGAAAGAAAACCTGCAGCCACATGGCCCTTTCAGGAATCAGTTTGACACCTGTGTTTTCAGAATCAGAAATACTTTAATAATCCCAGAGGGAAATTACTTTCATACACCTGATATTAATCGATAGCTGATTAACAGGCTTTGCTAAACTGCTATCATCTGAATCAGATATGTTGAAGCAAAGAAACATCTAAAACGGCATTGGGGACACAGGTTAAAAGAAACACTTGCTTAGAATATCAGAGTTGATTTCAATTATTTAAGCGCCAGGAACAGTGATTTTAATCCATTTTCAAATTGGTCATCTGCACCAACTGTCCTGTTTTGACGTCTTTGCTGTAGCACACCTGTATCAAATCATTGCATTACCTCCTTAGCAGCCACCAACAGCTGCCTGTTAATCACCTATTTATTCAAGTCAGGTGTGTGGAGGTACATAAAACAAGGACAATGGAGAGTAAAAAAAAAACAGTAGAAGTAGACTTGTACTCTAGTTCAATGGGAGGATCATGAACAACCACGTGCACAGCCTTTTAAACAGTATCCTGCCTGTGCTTTCTCCAATAAAGAGCAGCCGTCTTATTTTTATGAGCCTTTGCTGGAAACAATTGTAGATACTAAAAGTGTTCTGACATGAAAGCATAGCTCTAGTTTTGTTTGGACAAAAAAAAAAAAAATTCTACCGAATTCCATGACTTACTCACAGCAGGTTAATTCCCCAGCATGTGATGCTCAACAGAGGCCTTTCAACAAGCTTCTCATTCAATCCAGGTGTGCTGGAGAAGAGATCTGTCTTAGCTGCAGCATGGTAGCTTTTGAGGACTGAGTTGGGCAGCCCTGTTCTACAAAAGGCTAATACCGGGGAAGTTGAACAGTTTTGATACTGAGGTTTATTTTGCCCTCATTTGCATCACATTAAAATATCTTTAAAGGTGTTATATAATTTCTGTTAGTGAAATTGTTTGCAAGCTCTCAGTCCAATCTAATCCCAGATTCAGTAGAGAAGAAACAATCTTGCAATCTGTTACACTTCTCCTTTACAATTAATGTAAAGCTTCTTTTTAAATCTTATAAAGATAAGATAGACTTTATTGATCTCACGGTGGAGACATTCACTTGTTACATCGGCTCAAACGAAACCAGCCAAAAGGAGAGATAAAACCTTACTATAAAAAATTATTAAGTATAGGTTCAAGGTGGGGGGCTTTATATGTCAGTGCTGCATCAGCTGTGAAAGTTGAAATACATTACTTATCAATAATCAAAACCAAACAAGATTTTGCTAATAAATCCTAATCTTTCCCCAAAATGACAACTTTTAATGTTTTATTAAACTGAATGCATTTGGTTTCTGCAGGAAGAACACTCAAGGCAAGCTGATGTTAACATTATTAGGGTCAAACTCAATCATTCATTCAATGGCTATCCAACCAGTTCAATTGTATCGTAATTACTTGCTTCCATGAAGGGCTGAGCTTGTTCTAAAATTGGATTAAAGATGAGAAATTAACAGACCAATGAGTGTTTCTCTCCATAATGCGAGTAAAAGCTTTGGTTGCCCTGACAGCGCGTCAGGATCATTTAGTCTCCTGCTGAAGCAGCTGGACAATGTCACCCGTTTGTTTCATTCCTTTGTTCAAAAACATTCACCCAGGGTCGGATGTAAAAGTAGCTCCAATTTTGTCCAACACACATGATGTGAGCAAGATAAACGGCTTGGGTGAAGTTAAATTCTTGCATGGCTGTAATCCTATGGAAACGGATGAGGAACAGTATGGAACTGTGTTGAGACTTCGGAGAACGGAATGTGACTAAACTGAGCCGTCTGTACAACCACCCCCACCCCCAAGACCCTCTAATCTAATCCCTCGACTGTGGCGACATTCAGCAGCAAGACCTGCTTTGATGAATCTGAAAGAACTTCCAACGCAGCTTAGGTGCATCCAAGCAAATGATCAGAGGATCCTAATTAGATCGTAAAATCCTTCCTTGATAAAGGAAATTCAAATCAAAAACTATTATTTTCCATTTCAAACCTCACATTTACACACCAGAACAGTCAGATGACAGTCATGTATTTTTATACAACATCATATTTGCCATTTTACAATATCAAAATATAATGAATGTAACTTATTTGTTATTTAATAACCACAACTTGCTGGAAAACCTGCTAATAGAGTCACCAAGAACCTGCTGGTAGCAGTACTGCAGTGTTTAGGGACAATGACATGTTTAATGTAACAAAACATAAATGACCCGAATCTTGAAAATATTTTACATCAGCCATCCACAAGCTGGCTTTTTCAAATAAAGCACAGTCCTCATCGTCTGGCTTCGTTTTTACAGCATTTTCTAGGTCAGTCTGAAGGCAGATACAAACGTGCCGATTAATAAACAGTGTGAAGTAAAGAACTTGCAGTATTATGAACAGCAAAATGATACACTCAAATATCAGAATAAATGAAAAAGACCAAAGGTGGATGAAGCTGATTAAATTATGGTTAAATTAAGATACAAAGCTGTGTGTCAACCTTCTAAAATGTGTGCACAGTTTACAGGCGGATTCCCCACAGGTTCCGTCTAGAGATGCTTATAACAGATATCAGTGGCAGATGCTGCCAATAAATGAGTGAAACACCAAAGTAAAAAATAAGAGGCTTTAAAACCAAGTGAAATGTAAAACAAGACAATTAACTGCAAGTCGACCAAGAGGTCTGCATAAGTGCACTAGTCGACTGGACAGAAACAAGGCAAGGTTTTCTTTGAATATACAGGTCCTATAGAAAGTCCTCTTGATAATTAGAGGAATAAAGAAATAACCAAAGCTTAGGTCAGTGCTCAGGACCACCTTCATCTGATCCGCTAAAGCTAACCGCTCATTAGACGAGTGGACATCGAAGTGTCATGGGGTCACAGCCTCCTGGTCCATGCTACAGCCAAGTGCTTCGATGTCGTTGCTGATGTCGGTAATCATTCGGTCCCATTCGTCTCCCTCAGAGACATCTTGGCCCTCGTCAGAAGCTGTGGAATCCCCGCTTCCAGCGACTGCTCCGTTGCCGTTGGTGGTGGAATCGGAGGCGGAGCTAGTCGTGCGTTTGCAGCGGCCGAAGCTGTCTGTGATGATGCCGCGGCCGTCCTTCACTCCAATGGTCTCCAGGAAGTTTTCAAAGTGCTGGCTGTCTTTCTCAGGAATGAAGGGACGCAGGCCTGAAAAAGAGGATCGAAATAGTTTTACAAAGAATTACTTCGATGTTAATAGATCTTTTCACTGCTTCAACCAGAAGTTTACTAGATTTCCTCTATAATAAACTGCAAACATGTGGAAAAAGATCAGGAGGGAGGAAAAAAGAAAGTTTTGTTGACATAAATGCCTACTAGTTAACACATTTCACCTCACCCTGTACCCCATCCGCACAATGGAATGTGGTAATGGCAGCATCATGCTGTGGGGACAGTTTGTTTCACAAAGACAAGAACGTTGGCCAGAGAACTAATGGGGCTTAAATTAGAAAATCAATACTAGAGAAAAAAGAAAGAAATCTTGAGATTGGGCTGTGGTTATTAGGTCAGAATTATACTAGAGCAGCTTGGATCAAAGTATAGTTCTGTATTAGAATCTGTGGGAAAGCTTGGAATTTGGAAGTGGAAATGAAACGATGAACAAAACCTAAATACATTTATGAGAATGTGTTTAACAATTATAAATAATTAAATGAAAAACATGAAAAAAAAGAGAAAAAATGCAGCATTGTTTTCAACATTTTTGGCAAGGGAGCTGCTATGTGCAGTTTTCTAAGCAGTTATGCCACAGGGTCGGTTGATTCTGTGACTACTAGTTCAATACATAGGTAATACCAGCTATACAGAACCACCATAAAACACTTAAGACATTAGGTGTGATGGAAGACGAAGCTGGAAGGACACTCGAGCTTCTAAATCACATTCCTTATGCTTTTAAGCCCATTCACCATGTGACTCAAGTCTTGAGAAGGAAAAACGCTATGGAACCTGGTGAAGATTATGTAGAGCACCAGACTTCTGAGTCTGGCAAGCTAGAGATCTGTCGGGCATCCGACTAAAGGCTGGAACTGCTACGAGTGTTTACTATTTCACCATCTATAAGCTCATTCACCGTGTTACTGGAACCGTATTAAAGACAGAAGAGGAAGCTGTAGAAAGCATGTAGCAGCTAGCGGCCCATCAGATAGGGGGCTAAAGGCTGAAGCTGCTCCAAGTGTCTTTAATTTCACTGGCCAAGGTATTCTGACAGCGGGTCAGTGGCAACAATCAGTCATGATGCCAGGGTTCAAAAACTTGCTAAGCAGGCAGAGCGATGACAGGTAAGTTATGCTAGCAGATACTAAGTCATTAACTATGCCCGCAAGTCCAAAACAAAGTTCTTCAACTTTATTCCTAATCAAGCTCCTCAAACACTCTTTTGTATAACTCCAACAGCAGCCATCAGGATGAACACATCTCTGCACCACAGGATCACTTACCTACAGACTACCACAGCTGGTCCAAACCTCCAGAGAAATGATCTGTTTCTTATCGTTATTCCCCGTTTCCACAGCTGGCAGTCAGGTTATCCTAAGGTCCATCCTCTCCCTCACTAATCTGGGGCTTTATTCTTGAAACCTGTTTACCGGTTGCTCCAAAGTTTCTGCTTGCACGTCCTTCAGGGACAGCTTGACCACCTCCAAAGCGTCCACCTCTTAGCACAGCAATCTAAATGTCCACACATTCATAAGGCAAAACTTGCTGCGCAGTACGTGGTCCAGGTCAGCCTCATGACAGAAGATAGATTCCATCACCGTGGGCATTGGTGAACAGCAGCTTGAGTGTCCTTTCAGCTTCGTCCTCCATCACACTAATTTTCTTGATTTTTTTACGGTTGTATTCAACTGGAAAGTACAGAGCGAACCAACCCAGTGTTATCACCTCTATCACCAGGGCAGATTTTACTCCTGCAAACACACACATCAAATGTTGCTTGGATCTGGTCGCGAACCAGTTTTACTGGTATGCTTCTCCACCGTCGGTCTGGAATTTCTAGGGACACCAGCAGTTTCCTGCCAAAGCACAAGGGGGAGCCTATTCACGGAGATGGATCTAGAGTTGCTAGACATTAAAGAGGATATATTTGAGGCATTGTACAAATCTACGAACCTCCTCGATTAACCTTTCATCGTAGTTGTACATTTTTCATCGGTTTTTAGAAAGGGCGAGCCCCGGCACCGAATCTAGAAGGACAACCACACAGACAGCCGGAAAAGCATACCAAAAGCTGCTTTTTGTCTGCACCCTTCCACTTGAGGTCTGCGCGGTTTGCGACCGCGCGGGTTTGCGACCGTCCAATGCGTGGTCAGAATTTTTTTGAGGTGCACGACGACGGTTGCAGAGCCTCTGCGCTGGGGCGTGGTCGTGCAGAGAGACAGATTTGACAGTTGCAGAGACTTTGCGTCAGAAGCATAAATTGGCCTTTAGAGTAAAACAACATGGTGGTGCAGTTTGCAAAAAATAATAAAACAATGCTACTTATATATATTTTGATGTTTGTATATTAATTATTGACAGTCTCAGGAATAAAGCTAGATTTGTTGACCATTTAATTTCCCCTTTAAATTATTTAGTGGTTCATAAAATATGCTAATGTATGGTGGCAACACCTCTCATTTTCCAATTTCTTAGAAAGAATTCAAACCAAATGTCCTTCATTCCCATTCAGTGTTGTGTTGATCTGTTAAATAACTATATTATTTTTTTTCCATGCTGCACATCAAAAGAATACTAGTAGTTTCATTTTTTTTTTTTTTTTTACAAAAATCTGCGATGAATGAAATAGGGTGTTTTTACCAAGTAATAGGAATTTCCTGCTGTCCCCGTAGAGCTGGCGCAGATTAATGCAGAACTCATGAATGGAGGAACCATTCCTGTATTCGTGGAGCAGAGCTGCAAACTGCTGGATCTCCTGCGATGATAGTTTCGTTCGCAACTGCGTAACGGAAGAAGAAAAAAAAAAAACAAGAGTAATTAAAATCCTAAAAATAATTAATGAGGATATTCTTTAGCCCATTTGCTTTTAGCACAAAAGAAAAAGATGAAATGCCGTACTGTGGTCATGTAGTCCTGCAGAAGCTCTGCAGCAGTGGTGCTGAGCTCTCCTTCACTTGGAGCCTTTGTCTGAGGGGAGGCAGGGGTGGATGTAGATGGAGAACTTCCTTCTGTTGCCTGAAACGGACTGAGGAAACACACCATCTGAATCAGTCTTAATTAGCACGACTGATACATTAACCCAAAATGGCTGGATTTATCATATGTACATACAACGGACTGCTTTCTCTCTCAAAGGCTTCCTTGACATCTGCTTTGCTTGAAGAATCATCTGTAAATTGAAGCATTTCACAATTTAGGGTTAGCAGCTTAGTAAAAGCACAAACTTTCACTGTTTTGTAACAAAGATTGGAAAGCAGCCAATAAACAGGATTAATTTTTCTCACCACTGTACAAAGAAGGGTGTCTTGTAGGTGTTGTTGCTCCATCAAATATGGCCCTGTCTAGAAAGTCTATAGTTGATTCTGTGTAAACAATCTGAAAGACCTGGCTGAGCAAAAGACAAAGTTCCTCAGCAGCTGCCTGCAAGAAAAAAACATTGAAATTAGTCCTCATGAGATGCAAACATCTGTTCATTGTTTTGTTTTGTTTTTTGGTTTGACATTTTCAAACCAGTAAGGACAGAAAAAGAGACTAGAATGTGCTTTAGATTTATAGTGTTTATATTTTCTGCTGTATCATACATCAGAAACTGTTGGCCGGGCCCTGCAGAGCGTCCAGGACTTATTAAGCAGACCTCTTTGGAAATCATTGTTAATTGTGGTTCAACTATCCAGGTAGGTTTAGGCTGGTCAGCAGCACCATTTCACCATATGACCCTAAACTCATTAGCCTTAGAATTAGTTAAACTTGTTTTCATTTTCAGGAACTTGCCTTATTATCAACGGCTAGGACGAGTAGACAGCAGACTTCCACTAGCACAGCTCCGCTTTCTGACAGAGAGCTGAGAGTCTGGGACTTATTTAGATCAGGACATGAGCTGGGACAGGGGGAACCTCCCGACTCCTGAGCTGAAAAAAAAAGAAACAATAAACTTCAACTGTTACCATCTTAACATCAGTTAAGATATCTATACCTCTAAAGAATATCTTTAGATCAAAAAATCTCAGATAAAAGTCATTTGTTCCCCATCTAAATAGTCGCAGTGTGGAACTCAAACAATGAGGTCACTCATTCTGTAAAAAAAAACAAAAAAAAAAAACAGTCATCGACCATGTAGCTCTAATTTAAAGATGAAGGCAGCAAATGTACATTTTGGATATATGGTACTCCGCTGTGAAAGTCTGAACCATGTCTGGAGCGAACCATTCTGCTCAGAGGAGCAGTATACCTTGAATAATCATATTAATTAGGGTGAAAACTGTAGACTGCTCAGCTAAAATTATATTAAATGGTTGAAAATGGGAGCAGATAGAGAGAAATACATGGAAAATGGATACTACAATGGATTTAAGAATAGTTAAAATAGCCAAAGCCGCATGTGTTAAAGTGATTACAGTTCACATTTTTTTTTAGGAATATTGTAACATTTTATATACTGATGGAAAAAATGCTGTTTCTGGGTCTAGGGACCATAAATAGATTGTTTGTTCTCATATACAGCCCTTAGAATTGTCTTGCCAATGAAGCGTGCTAAATAAATAAAACTGCCTTGTCTCACATTGTATTTTAAAGCATTTTAAAATAATTTTAGCTGAGCAGCCTAAAATTTAAATTTTAACTACCCTAAAAAAGCAAACTCCCTCTCTATAAAACCAAAGAGATGAGTGTCACAACAAAAAAGAAAATTAACTCGACATTACTGCCATCTGCTGGACAGAGGAGCAGCCAGGAGTTATATTTGCACATGGATTTTGCAATGTCTACTTTTTAAATACAAAAAAACAACAGGTTGGTATCAGAATTGGACACAATTATATATCATCACAAGAGGAAACTAGTACTGCAGCTTCTACATGCTTCTATGTTCTACCTGTTTTTATCACAACGAGGTGTAGTGAATCATCCCTGATGTATGAAACTGCAGCGATGTCATGGATTGGCACTCTAAGGATGATGTCTTCTCCATCTCGCCAAACAAGTTTGATGTTGTATGCAGATAAGCTCACCACTGCATCCTGCTCTGATGTCAGCTGGCCTGCCAACTGATGGGATTTCTGAAAGACAGCAGCTAAATATTTAAGCAGCTACTTTGAGTGTGACAATAAGCCGACCCACATCCAATCTTCTATCATCCAAATGATCAACTGGTTTATATGAAATGAAATGCTATCAGCTTGAAATCAATACAAATGACATAGAGTGCAAAGATTTTCAGCAGCACCCAAAGCAAATTAACGGAAGACCTTAAATTGCTGAATATGTTGAGTTAGACAACCTATAAAACAAATCAGAAAAATGCACGTGTTGTTGCAACATTACAGAAGCTGTTTAAATCAAGCTAACCACCTGCTGGAGCAGAGAAGACTGTCCTGAAACTCAGCATGAGCAAATTATTAGTCACTGACACAAGCAAGGATTATATCAACACCTCCCATATTTGGTCTGCTCTCTATCCCAGAATTTGCTGCCCTCCTTGGCTTAAAACTTTTTGTTTAGGTGTAAATAAAGACAAATAAACTCCTGTCTGTGTATTGAGGCCTTGCAGCCAATGTCACAGATGTTTGAATGTAGCCGTGGCCATATTGAGTACCTGCTCTGGTCCCCTGCGTGTCAAAGATGCTGCCTGTGCGTTGTGCCGTTGGATGATTAGATTTAACGGATTAGAAACTTTGTTAAAGTAATGCCTTTGATATTTAAATCTGAAGATTTTGCTACAGATTATAGTTGAGTTTAGCTGTTTACATAAAGTAGGCATAAAGATCAGCAGAACCTTGCTTTTTTTAATTTGATACCTTCCCTTTTCATACAAATATCTTGTTTTACGGATGCCATATTTTCAAATCAATATCCCAGCCAACTATGACATACCAATAAGGATCTATGCTTTTAAAAGCTTTCAGACTTTCTCTGGTGTATGAGGACGGATTGTGTATGAAAGATGTTAAAGTCATGAAAGGAAGTTTAGAAGCCTGTCAAGTTTAAGAAAGGTGTTGGAAAAACGTCTGCAGGGACTTTGCATGAATCACATCCTATACCAAAGACTTTGTCTGTGTGTTGTTTAATCTAATAGGGATTTAAATGAGAATGATCCATTCTGCTCAGAGTGGAAGCGCCAAAGAGCTAAGCAACTCAATATGATGGTAAGATAGAACAGATTTAGAAAACTTTTATTGTCATTTTGTATACGAGTGTATACAAAAAGAAAGTTTGTTTAGTATAGCTTTTCAGAGGGTAAATAAACATTGCTGTTCCATAAAGTCACAATAGTCATGTCACACTTATGAAACCTATCTATTAAGCATCACCCCAGTACAGATGGAGGGAGGTCCTACTGAAGACACAAACTAACACTTTGAATATACTTACTCTTGCATTATCAACGAGCTGCAGAACCTCTGTCCGACTTGATGGGTTTAGGTATCCTGGAACTGATGTCAGCTGCCCCAAATACTAAACAGGAAACAACAGGTAAATATTTCACATTCGTAAATGTCACAAAAACCTTATAACCCTATAAAAAAAAAAGCATCATATTATATATTAATTGGCAACTCAACAGAAAAAACTACTTTTCTATTAAATACAGTTTTTGAATGCTACGTTTGTTTGAACTGTTTTGATATAAATGCCCATAAACTGTATATTTTGACGGTTAAACTCACTTTAACTTCCTTCTCAATGTAGTCATTAAGAAGAATGTCAGGGTCGATGCGGTGGTCAGGCTGAGATAGGGAGAAGGTATGAAGGGCCCTTCGCTCTGTGGATTTCTCTTGGGCCTTCTTGTCCCTCCCTTTCTCTCCTTTCAGAAAAACCCGCTTGAACGGAGAAACAATCCCAGGCTATTAAATACAGAAAAAGAGAGAGGATAAGAAAAACACCCAAAACATAACAGAAAATGACTTGCATCTAGTGGGTTCTTTTTTCAACAGTAGGCTAATGACTGACATCTTTGTGTGAGTGTAACAGTAGCATGCTTCACAGCTCCCGTCCCCTCGTAGCAAAACAGGTCATAGTCCAACTACACCATTTAAAAGCCACATAGTTTTAGTAGCCTGACCAAGTTAATTAACTAAAAATACGAGGAGGAAACGTCAAAGTTCTGCTTATGTCTTTCCCTTTGCTGTGCTAAAAAAAAAGGGTAGCACTAATCATCACATTGAGGGTTGCAAAAATGTAAAAACATTAGCATGTTTACCTCACTCTCCATGATCCCTCAATGAAGCGGTCACACACCTGTTCACCAGTAACGCCCCAGCCTGCCTACTGTTACTACTCTACCACCTGTTGGCTCTTCTCACTAACACCGACAGCTGCCAACAGATGGGGAGCAAGAGGATCGAAGCTCTGCGCTTAGGGTGAGGGGTGTGACCCCAAAGAAGGAAGGGATGTGTCTTTGACTTCTTAGGCAGAAGAACAGGAAAGGAACTGACCACAACTTCCTGTGTTGACACGTGCTGTAAGTGTTGTGACATTAATTTCTGCAGCAGACATATGCTTCTTTAAATTAGCTTAGCAGATAATGAACTAACAATTAATCTACTATCTGTACCCTTATGTTTTGACATCACACAATAGCTTTCTTAAATCTCTGTCAGAATTTAGCAGCCAAAGTTTTGTGCACAATTATGCAAAACCACAGTAACATGCATAAAGCACGACGTGCTTTTTGCTGTGCTAACCACAGGAGCTCAGTCTCATATGCTGCTAACGTTGTAGATTTAAGAAAGTGAAATGTCAAAACAGGCCACATTGTCCTAACATCACTTCATTTCAACAACGCCTTTAACAAATCAGAAGTTTTCCTCTGCTTAATCACACTTTATCTGATGAATGTTAAGGTCTTATAAGGTCATGCCTAAAGCTGTTTTTCCTTATGAATTCCCTATGCAATTCTGGCTTAAAACAGTTTTCAACAATGACTTTTTTGAGAAATTTAAAATAATATTCTAGCATATTCCTTAAGTAATTAGATGAAAAATATTCAGCAGCAAATATATATATATATATATTTTTTTTTTACAAAAGCAAAGGATATCACTCCACCAAAATACATATATTCAGACTGATGGTGCAACTCAAGCATCAAGTCTAATAATAATCCAATAAAACCTTTTTGACTGCCAGAGACAAATCCATATAACCTTGATCTGCAGATTATTATTATTTAACATCCAACAGATTTGGGAGCTGTTAAAACAGAGATGCCCTTTTTGTTTAATCATAAACTGAACACTTGCTTCATGAAGAAAAAAATGATTAAAATTCATCCCACAATTTCTTTTCTCCCTGAATTGAGCAGTTTAGATAACAATCAATCAAAATAGTATTTCTTTAATCTTCTAGTAGTTAAAATAGTACCTATTTTGACTCCCACTGATTAGATTATAAAAACTATCTAAACTAGGTTCATCAAGAAAAGTCAGCAAACTTTTCAGACTAGCATTATGTAAATACGATAAGCAAGTATATTAGCGTAAAATATAAAAATCACATTCAGATTACTTTTTGGAATCTTTTTTCAATACTCTCACATCTAAATGTTAAGGGATACAAATAGCTTGTAAAGCCATCATTATTGTCAGTGTTATTAAATTACATTGCCTATCTTTTTGACTCCTATGAACACCTTTACTGTTTTTATTTTATTTTATTTTTTTTAGGCAAACCTTAAAAATAAAGTGCCAAAGGGATAATCAGAAGTGAGGAATACATGTATGTTAAAAAAAGAAAACGTTTGCACGTCATATCATGAGTGAAATTTCAACAATATATAACAGCTGCTTGCAAAGTTGAACTACAGCACCATGACAGGCCAGTTACATTATTTAACAGTATGCCCCAACCAAACACATTAAGATTTTACAACGCCTGTGAAATGTGATACAACAGCCCAGCAAAGCTCTTTTTTTTTCTTCAGTTTTCTAAACCTGCAGAAAAACAAAAGAGAGGCAACCACTTTCTTTGAGTATGCCCTGCAAAATACATTGAGGCTTACATGAATATGCACATTCCTTTATTATTGTCATATTTATTGTGTGTTTTGATTGATTCGATATTTTACTGCATTTCCATATTTTGGATTGATTCGATATTTTACTGCATTTCCACTTATTTTACGTGAAATGGAGTAAAACTATAGGTTCTTTAACTTCCAAAATTGGATTGGTAGCGTATTCAGTTATTGTTTCACCACAGCCAACAGAAAGGCTGAAAAAAGGAGAGCAGAGAAATAGAATTTAAATCAACGTTTGCCAAACTGACCTCAATGGTCAAGAAATCATTAATGCCTGAACACAAATTACAAAACAGTTGTAAAATTAAAATAGCAACGTGTCACAAAATTTAATCGCTATCAGCACCCTGTGGTAAAAACAGGAACTGCATCCAAGGGTCGCCTCCATATCCTAAAATAAACCTGACGAAACACATCAAAGATGGGAAGAAATCCGTACACAGCTTTCTTCTAATATAAATAATAGTTATATCATAGGAAGCGTTACCCCTTCGTTCAGCTACGAAACTATTCCTTGTTAGAGATCAAAGGATTAAAAAACTAATATGAAGGTTTGAAGAAACAACTGAAGGGAGCTAACTTTTTTTTTACTCTCTTATTACTAAATTTTTAGCAGTTATGCAAAAATTTCAACAGTATTTTTCTTTTCTTTTATATATTTTTTTAGTAATACCCTAAACCGAATGTGAAAGATGAGCACCAGATAAAATTACAAAAAATAAGGAGCGCCGAGGTTTCTACAATGTAAATCAGCCAGAGTAGCCGTTCGGTAGCTTGACATAGAAAGTAAAATCCTAACAGAGCACCAAACTCCGTAGACCAGACATTACACATATTTACTAGTCTTCCCTCTGCTATATTATAAATTGTTAAATATGGTATTAGTCTGTTCATGGGGTAAAAGGATGTGTTTGGTGGCAACCACTTGTCAGCTAACACTAAACTTTTTAAACTAGCTACAGTTAGCCTTACTCACGGAGAGCTAGCATGTTAGCATGTAAGCCGCAGAACAAAAAAAAAAGTGTAAAGTGACCCACCTTTTTGACTTTTTTTACATCTTCTTCCATCTCTTAAGTTTTCCTCTTCATTCTCACTTCGACCAAAGATCTAAGTGAGGCAGGATAGGACCAACAGAGCTCAAAGCCAGCACTTATTTGACAGCAGTTAGCCTACTAGGCTAACTTATTTTAGCATTGTGCTTCTAAAGATATTCCTACTTTTGAGCTGATAGCGAGACGCCATTCCAGCTCTCTTCTTGCGTTTTAAACTCTTTTATCGGGGAGTTTAAGATTTAAAAATGACACGGCACGTGTCCAGAGCAGCTACGATGAAGGTCTATTAAAAATACTAACTCGATAAAAACGGCAAAAACTTTTCAACCGTGCCGCCATTTTGGGCGTTGAACTGTAGTCCAGCATGCTTTGCTTTGCACAAACCAAAACAGCAGCTTGGAAACTGCTGAGATTAGAAAAACGCGAACGAATGCGGCCAAAAATATTTTATAAGCAAATATTTTTTATAGATACACAAACGAAATATAACTGTTTCATACGTATTGCCAAATGATACATTCCCTTCAGTGTATTAAATTAAAAAGAATGTTAATTTGTTCCAGAATTATACCTAAAACATATATTAAACAGTCAAATAATTATACCAAAACTCCCCACTAACCTAACAGGTCTAAATTGAAGCAGAATTAATTTGTATACACTTTAATATTTACCTTAATCTAATTCTAGGTTTTCTCAGTAATTGACGAAAGATGTGATTCCCAATTTTAAATATAAAGAAGCATTACTTTAAAAGACAACAATGTGGAATATTTATATATTATTTCCATTACTGGATTTTTTTTTTATTCATAAGAGCAGATTCTTTAGTTTCTTCAAATCTCCAAGCATTCCAAAATGATATGAAAAGTTTTCATGCCTTGATTAACTTACTGGAAAATAACAAAGCCTTAAAGTTGAATATACTTTAACTTAACCCCTGTGATGCCTGTTTTATTTTCTTTTAATTTGACTGTATGTTTAAGTTTATATAGTTGTTTTTTAATTGTCTTATAAAAAACTATAATGGATGGCATATGTTTAAATGTGAGTTCGCTGTTTTGAAATTGTATTTGATTTTAATTGATAAAAAATTTAAAAAGTAAATCTCAGTAAAGCAACTTTATACATACTATAAGTAATGATCTAGCGTAATATTAAAACTGACAGTATACTATGTTAGCAATAACTGTTTTTAGAAACAAATATTTTGAATCATGCAATTATTTGTACTTAGAAATACTAACTTCAAATAAAAAAAACAAAAACAAAACAAATGAAAACCGTTGTGAAGTGACTCAAAAAGTCTAAGACTTATGATCCATTCTGGTCTCAAAATCCAAAATGGTGCTCTTGTATAATAATATTATTATAAATATTACACAACTAAGAACACTAGTGTACAACCCGTGTTAGAAACAGTGTTCCTTCAGTGTCTAAAAGTAAAAATATGGTCATTTAACATTTCAAAACCTGATCCCCATAAGATAATCAGTTAGTAAATTCTACTTGATGCAAACATAAAGCTAAAATATTGACTAATTGCATTTCAGAAAAGAAAAACAAGTTGTAGTTTTATTGGCAATCATTGTATTCCTCAGCCAGCAAAACAAATGTGTGCTATTTTGTTATTTTGCTGTAATAGTTTTTCTAAGTAATAAGAAGCAAACAAACACAAGTTCCTTGTTTGTTTTTGTGCGATCTTAAATATGCCTACTGATATAACCGGCAAATTAAATCACAATTACTTTTCATTGTAAAACAAGGGGGTCCAAACCAATCTTCAATGTTATTTTTACATCCATAAATATGTGCCTTTTTTTAAGTAATGTATGTTTCGTGATCATGTTTTTAGAAAAAAAAATTTTTTTTCGGTCTTTATTTAAACTGGATTGGATCTCTCTTTTTTTTTTTTTTTTTTTTTAGAATTTTTTCAATTTATCACAAATTTTTTTGTTTCTCTAGGGCTATTTTTTCCATCATGCAGTTTATTATTTTTTTTCTTTTGACAGGGCCCTTGTTTTGACAAGTAAAATTCAACATCTATTTAAATTTTGAATTAATTTACAGTAGTATTGTTGATTATGTGTTAGTCTTCAAGCAAATTCATCATAATTACCTTCACTGATGCAAAAAAAGAGACCCTTAAAAAAGTAAAAATAAAACACTACTGGAGTATTGCACTTTCAAATACTATATTTATTTTTCTCTTCTGGGATGAACAGTCTGATATATGAATCTACAGTAAGGCTTAACATTACATTTTCAGCATAATATTTCTCTTTTCATCTAAAAACCAAAACATACAAAAAGAACTTTAGCACCATATGTTATTAATAATATTCATATTGTTCCCAAAAATAGGGTTTAAGTACAACACTGGACATCAGTTTTGTTTTTTTTTTTCAAAGAAAAAAGGGGATTCAATAAAACAGTTTACTTACATTTTATATTCAACAACAACAAAGAAATCCCTTTGTATATGTTTTTGTCTCACAACATAGGCTGCATCTTTCCATAACCGTATGAAGCTGCATCGTGTAGCAGCTCTATGACCAACTTTTTGAATACCCCGGATAAATCAGGTACCTCCCTGGAGTATTCATGGAACACACCAACAAGCTAACACAATCAATAAGTTGATTAAATATAAACAAAGCCAAATTCTCATCACTTTTCAGAACAATTCCAAAAAATTTAGCAGCAATATTAAGACATAGTTGCTTTGTTGAAATATCAAATTCAGTTTTGAACAAAATATTACAGCCGATTCTACAATAGCGAA